TTGTTGCCAGAGGAGGAAAGTGTTGGAACACCAAGGCCAGGAAGAGCCTACCATCAGCCCTCAACCTGACGCCCGTGAACCATCGGGCCAAAAACATCATCCTTTTCCTGGGTGATGGTGAGTTGGAGCTTCTCCACCCTGGGAACAGGCGAAGGGCAGAGAGTTTGGGTTTTGCACGTCCATTGTATATGCTTATGGTCAAGCAGGATTCCTGTGCATAACGAACCTCATCGGGGAAGTAATCTATTCCGGCTCAACTGAGCCAGGCCTGATTGGTTAAAAAGTACGTATCCCAAGTTTATCACTGGCATCCAGGTAATTAAAGATCAGCCGGTCCAGTTTGATCAATTGTTGTAAAGTGAGGGCAGGATTTTGGAGAGGGGAGGAGGCGTTGGGCCCAGGGGGTGTCCAGCGGGGTCAAGATGGATGGTGCAGCAATAGAATTGAAATCATTCCCCCTTTTTACACATGTTGTATGCATGATACAAGTAATAAAAGGGAAAGGGTTTGATTGCAAGGTTGCAGCTGTCGTCTTGACTTTTTTGACCTCTCCCCCCCACAAAGGCCATTGTCTCAGGCATCATACATGGACTGGGTTCCTGGAAAACCCTTGGTTATCAGAGGCCTCCATTTATTCGCTTCGCATCAGAAGCTACCCAGTTTGGCTGGATTCACACAGCATGCAAACCCTCAAAATAACAAACCGAGCTTAAAGCAGGGGAGCCAAGACGATTTGCCAGCGCAGCCGGGAGGTTTTCTGTTGACCTGGTTAAGCGTCTTGTGTGAACCCAGCCAGACGAGGTTACCACCCATTATGACTCCGACTTTCAAACGATCTGACGGGCAGATGCATTTCATTCAGGGCAATAAAACAAATAACATATTTCAAGTCACACAAGGTCTGTTCGTATCAGGCGTGGGTGGAGATTTTCCCCATAGATTTGAGAGACTGACCCGTTGATGTCCTTGGACAAAAAATGGCGGAGGACTAAAAATTAGGTGGGCGTTGGAGGCAGGGAGGAGAAAGTGGGAACTGAATAGTCATTTGATCCTTAGGCTCTCAGCATCTTAAGCAGAAGTTTGAGCCAGACCTTTGGCTGCAGATTTTTCTGCCGGTTCTCATTCAGGGCGATGACGTGAAATTTGCTTTACACTACAGCCAATGTGGTGGAATGGTGAAGGGGCTGGACGAGGAGGTCCTAGTCCCCCCCCCAAGGGAAAGCCATGGGGGGACTTCGGGTCAGTCCCCCTGCCAGCATGCAGGGTTGTCGTGGGGGGAAAACAGAAGAAGACGCCAGAAGAAAAGGTGAGAGATAAATCTAACAGATAGGAAGCAGATAGATGCAACCCGAATGGTAGCAATGCAAATAAGATTTTAAAAGTTGTCCCTGGATTAAATCAAGCAGCAGATTTTCCTCTATAGATATGCATATTCTACGGGTAGGCATCATTTAAGAATGGAACAGAAATGCCCACTTTCTTCAGAACAGCTGCCTTATTTTTATGCAAATGTGCCAAATATGGATTAGTTGCAATCAAACTAACTAAACCAGGGGCAGTGCAAACACCAAACCAGGGGCCAAACCAGGAACAAAGTTCTCAGGGCAAAAAAGGGCAAAAGGCATGCCCTTAAAGCAGTGTTTCTCAACCTCAGGAACTTTAAGATGTGCGGACTTCAACTCCCAGAATCCCCCAGCCAGCCATGCTGGCTGGGGAATTCTGGGAGTTGAA